GGACGGCGGAGAGATGCCGGCCATGAGTGATAGGATCAGCGGTTGGGAGGATAGGTGGATGGGGATAGGAGGTGGAAGACGATAGGTGGATCGGTAGTTGGGAGGATAGTTGGATATGCGATATGACCCTCTCTCTCTCTCTCTCTCTCTCTCTCTCTCTCTCTCTCTCTCTCTCTCTCTCTCCTACGCCATCACATTCAGACTTTATTCTTGGTATACAAGTAGTCAATACGTTCATACAACACAAAAATAATCATAAGAAGCACAAATAAGAAAGTTACCACAAAAATTGCATCGATATGTATATTTTATGTTGTATTTGTACGTTTGCAATTTTACATCGTGTAAACAAAAAATTATGCCTGGTATACATTTGCTCATGCTTATGTTGAATAGTTTACATCATGTAAAATAACGGCAAAAAGTAGATTTTTCACCCTCACGCTGAATAGCTGAAGTATTTGATTTATGTCTTTTCATGTATTGGTGCACATAGTACACAGGCCCAGTGTCTGCTTATGTTTTTGAATCCATTAGTACATACCTATATTGCGCATTAGCCTTCACCATTATGCACCAAGGAAAAAAACATGTCATGACAAAATAGTGCAACGCTTAAAATCCTCTATAGTGAAGCTAAACCGCGCTATAGCGACACTATCACGCTATAACGAACGATTGTACACTGATTTCATTTAGTGAGACGTTGTTCTGAAGGGAACGCTATAGCGTACTATTTCTTTCATTCTTATATGTACAACGTTTTGCTGAAACGCCGTAGTACGTACTTGCCTGTTTCAAGGCCTATTTTAGGGTCTTTTAAGGCGCCTCCTACCAGCTACAGTGTTGTAAGCTCAGCCCCCAAAAAAGCAATAGCTAGCTAGTAGAGTGCAGCATCACAGTCAGAGCGAACTGGTCCAACCGGCGATGAACTGTTCCGCGACAAGAACCAGCCACCCCGTGATAATATATACTGTATACAGCAAACGAGCTACGAGCAAGCAAAAGCAAGTTAGGAGATGGCAATGATGGACGTCGATGCTCCCTTTCTTGAGGATAAGGAAGAGCCGCTCGCCGGCGTCTGCGACTTCCGCGGCCGCGCCGTCTACCGCACCACCTCCGGCGGGTGGCGATCCGCCTTCTTCCTCGTCGGTATGCACTGCATGTCCTAGAGCTAGCTATCTGTTCACTAGACCTAGTTAACTAACTTGCCAGCGATACATGCAGTGGTGGAGGTCGCCGTCATCATCGCCTACTACGGCGTGTCGGCGAACCTGATCACGTACCTGACAGGGCCGCTCGGCCAATCCAACGCGGCGGCGGCCACGGCAGTGAACGTCTGGACGGGGACGGCCAGGCTCATGCCGCTGCTGGGTGCCTTCGTCGCCGACTCCTGGTTGGGCCGCTACCGCTCCATCATCCTCGCCTGCACCCTCTATGTCCTGGTAATGAAGGAAATTACCTTGCTACAAATTTGGGTTAGCTTGTCTTACTTAATGGCTGCTTGGGAAACGACGCATGGACGTACAATATACACATATTCAGGCACATGACCAAAACCGGTGGTACGAAATTTTAAGATTAACAGTCACTACACTCGTCTTAGTTCAATGAAAACGATGACTCTAGTTAAAAATAAGATAATCCACCTTGATAGAATAAACAAAACGTCAAACCTAGAATTACCTGTTCATCCAGCTGTTTGGTTAGTTAGGCTTGTCTTAATTTGAAATTAATGCACCAGCACCGTACAGTTGAGTAGGCCACTACTTGACATGTCAAACTCGTCTATTTAAAAAACCCAGTCGACCTAATTAATCATGCTCAACCCTCTTTACTCCTTCCCAAGAAAAGATCCCAATCTTTTCTCTTCCTCCCGTCCGCGTCGCCGGTCCGCCCCATCTTCGATGGCCTTTGGACCATGGAGGTGCGGAGGACCTTGTGCCTCGTGGGCGGAAGGGAACACATTCTTGTTCTTGTTAGGTTCATTGCCTTGGTTGGGTCTGTCTGGCGGTGGTGATGTCCCTCAGTTGAAATAATTTCTTCCACGTTCTATCTCAGTTCCCATGATGCATCTAGCGTCGTCGGAGGGCATGTGAAAGTGTATCTTGTCGGATCTCGCAAGATTCGATCGGTACCGGTCTTCGGTAGATCAGTTTGTACTAGGTCTTCGTTCGTCTTTGTTTTGGTGTTACAAGTTTGATCCTTCCCAACCATGGATTTCTTCATAGGCGATGGTTGCTCCTCTTGTGCACTAGTCCTATGAGGGCTTAGCACAACGATTTCCCGACTGTCTACTATGGTGAGGTCTGCCCAGCTCTGGTCAGGGAGGGGTGCTGTTGGCGGTGCGCCTTCAGCTGGCTCCGGTGCTCGTAGTGGTCACTAGGTGGTCTACGGACCTAGTTGTATTTATTACCTCTACTTTGTACTGTCGGCATTGAACATGAATAGGTTGGAAGTTTCTCGCACAAAAAAGAAAGTACTAGAAGAGACAGAAGATGATGTATTCCGCTCATATACTATATTAAATTGGATAAATACAAAGAGACAGAAGACGAATACAAACACACGAAAAATATGTCTTAGACAACTATACAAGTACTAGAAGTCTCCCGTAAAAATAAAATTAAGCCCTGGACGTACATTAGCACACGAGGGCCTCCGATTTGCTCTGCCGCCCCAGCACATGCCAATTCATGGTGTTCTCTGCCTTCTTCGTTGTCAGTACACACTATGCTAGCTAGTCGGCCCCAATTAACTTTAAGAAAATTTGTATCAATTGGGGGAGGTCATCAATGTCGCTATCAGACCTCATCCCTCCCAAGTTTGTACGAATTATTTCCCCATGTTTGTAATTGGGCATTTTGCTCCAAACTGTATAGCAATTTTTTTTTAAAATTTGAATGTAGCTGTACCATAATCAACATAGTTTGAGATTATTAGTGATAGCTTTAAGTACGCCTTAGCTTGAAGTGCTTCTCGACCATTTATTCCACAAATACTCCCAAGTCTAAACTACTCCTCTACATGCAGGGCTATGGCATGATCACTCTAGCATCAACACTCCTGTCTCAGCGACCGTCTGCATCCCTTGGCAAAGACTCCTCGTCTTCCCCTTTTTCGCTGGAGGTGTCCTTCTTCTATGTCTCCCTCTATCTCATCGCGCTCGCGCAGGGTGTCGGCAAACCTTGTGGGCTTGCCTTCGCCGCAGATCAATTCGATCCCAACCACGCTAGGGAGTTCACCGCCCGGAGCTCCCTCTTCAACTGGTGGCACTTCTTCATAGCCATTGGGATCAGTTTCGCTGTCATCGTTGTCAGCTACATCCAGGAGAATGTTGGTTGGGGAATTGGCTTTGGCACGCTCTTCACCGTCATGATTTGCGCTTTTGTTGTCTTCCTCCTTGGCATTCCCACCTACCGCCTCCATGTGCCTGTCACTGGCTCTGATAACCCTTTTGCTCGTCTTGGTCGTAGTGTCTTTGCGCTTGCTAGGAACTCAAGCTTCCGTGTCTGCGCTAAAAGACATCATCATGAAGATGAAGATGTCGCAACCAGCATGGAGGAGGCGCGTTGCGTGCTACAACTACTGCCGATCTGGGCAGCATGCCTAGCTTATGGTGTGGTGATTGCGCAGATCATGACACTTTTTAACAAGCAGGGACGCACCCTAAATCGTCATATTGGTGGCCTAGAGCTACCTCCGGCCACATTGCAAGTGTTCTGGCCGGCAGCCGGCTTACTGTTTGTGCCCATCTATGACCGTGTTCTAGTTCCGGCACTACGTTACACGACGGGCACCCCATCGGGGTTGACGCTGTTGCAGCGAGTAGGTACGGGCATGGTTGTCTCAATGGTCGCCATGTGTGTTGCGGCATTGGTGGAGACCCAAAGGTTGGAGATGGCACGGAAGAACAACCTAGTTGACAACGCCATGGCGACGATACCGATGAGCTGGGCATGGTTGGTTCCGCAGTATGTGATGATTGGGGTGTCCGACGTGTTTGTGTTAGTCGGGATGCAGGAGTTCTTCTATGACCAAATGCCCAGTGAGCTTCGCAGCCTTGGCATAGCGCTCTTCTATAGCGTGATGGGAATCGGCGGCTTCATCAGCGGCGCTCTCATATCACTCATGGACCACATCACCCGCAGCGGTGGGGGCGAAAGCTGGTTCTCTAACAACCTCAATCGCGCCCACCTTGACTACTTCTACTGGTTGCTCGCTGGCCTAAGTGCGGCCGAGCTTGCCCTCTATATCTACATCACCAGAAACTATGTCTACAAGGAAAAGAGTCAGCTGAGAGTGACAACCTAGCACTAGCACTTGTACGCATCGATCATATGATATGTTGTATCATCCGCAAATAAATTTTCACTCCATTGGACTATGGTCACTTATGTGATACTTGAAGAATATATATCTTTGATTGGTTTATGAAACCAATTTCATATTTATTTTAATTTTTGTGTTGAGTGGCACTTGACTTTATAATAACCTTGATGGCATACGGCAGAAACCTACCATTTTTTCCTCTACTATACTAAGAAACATTGTGACATAAGATGTACTATAAGCTGATTAAAGCCATAGGTGTAACTATGGCTACCATTTTTATGTGAAATATTTTATGCCAAATTGAGCTATGCTTTAAAAAAAATCTGGTTTGGTTTCTTTGTTTTTCAGCAACTCATTTCGCAGTTGATATTTTGTTGAGGTTTTACTAGCACATGTGCCCGTGCATTGCAATCGGGAGATTTTTTTTGCAACAAGCAGCGAAAAAGATAATTGATGTGTTCATAAAAAACGGTCTCCATGGCAGTGGGCAACAGAGCGAGGAGCTGCGGTATTCTCACGGGTCATGTATGCCCGCGAGATCTTGATAGTGGTGGGTTGGTCGGCGTAGCGGCGACCATCCCACTGGCACCTTTTTTTTCCTCTAGGTCCACCTCCGTCTTGGAGTTGTCGTTGTGTCCTCATTTGTTTGCTGCGCGGCGACCTTCAAGGCATGATTACTCCGGCTAATTTCTCCTACGTCGACGTAACCGGATGGATTACTAATTACAGTGCCTAAATTATGTTTCATTAGTATAATCAACGCATAACCAGGCATAAATGTCCCTTCATTATTAGAGTTTATTCTCATCAACTATTTTTGCGCTCACATGCCCATAAATTTTATTAATTAGAGCAAAATCAGCATATTCTCTTTTATTAGCATGTGCCCATAATTTTTTTCAATTATAGCTAACCAACATATTATCTATTGGCATGTGCAAGTTACCTCCGGCAATAATTTGTGGAGTCCCTAGTTCTGCTCATAATTCTTGAGACAACTTTCTTATTCTCACACAACCTTCTTATTTCCAAACAACTTAGGGACATATAAAACTGGTGTGATTTTGTATAAAATTTCAAGACGGGATTTTTCCTATCATAATTGCAAGCTAGCTGAGTTGGTTTTATCCGTCAACACAATATGGGAAGGTCCATAGTTCATTCCCCTCGCGTCGTTCATTTTTTGTTGCTTGTCCGTCCGACAGAAAAAGAAATACGTGGTAGGTCCAGTTTGACCCACCCGAGGGATAACCAAAAAAATTGGGGAGCTATATGTGGAATAGAGGGAACAAAATCTATATGTATTTTCCTTTTCTTTTCTTAGTGCAGCTCTGTGGGAGCTACTATATGCCGCTAGATGCGTCGAATAACGCGTGGGACGCACAATAGTTCGTGTCTGGGCCAACCCACCGGCAGGCACCGAAATAACCTGTGTTTCCAAGGCACAGGTAATAATCCAAAAAAATAACGTGTTGAACGATCGAACACTTGACCTCAATTATGAACAATGTTTTTAATATTTCGTCTATTTTGAAAAAAAAAACATGAACAGCATTTGAAATAACAACATTTTCTGAAGTCATGAACCATTTATCAAAACCCAAACATTTTTTTTATTTCTTACCAACTTTTGAAGACAGAACATGTTTTGAACATTCAAAACAATTTTATAGAGTGTGTTTTTAAACATGAACATTATTTTGAATTTGTGAACATCTTACTAAAACAATAATATATTTCCAATTTCGAATATTATTTAAAATACATGTTTTTTAATCACAAACAATTTTCGAATATTTTTTAATTTGCAAAAAAATCGTAAAGCCAAACTAAATTAATGTTCCAAACATTTTTCAAAAGGGTAAAACGGGGAACACAATATTGTAATTCGAACATTCTTCGAAAATTTGACAACAATTCAAATTCTGAACTTTTTTTGAAATATTTTCACAAAAAATTAAAAATTGGACGAAAAAAAGGTGTGCATAAATATTTTAACAACTCAAATAAGGTAAAACTAAAAATAAATTTGGACGAAAAAAAGACTGGCCTAGTCTTGGGCGCCCTATCCGAGCTATGATTATCTACCACACAGCGCGAGAAATAGGATTTTTACAGCTACATGGCTAGGCAGATAAGTGGGCTGGCTTCACTGGGCCACAACGTGGGCGCAATAGGAAAAAAAAATAGACGGTGTACGGATGAAAAAAATTGGAGAAACACATCTTCCTTTATTTGTGTGTGTGTGTGTGTGTGTGTGTGTGTGTGTGTGTGTGTGTGTGTGTGTGTAAATAATATATGTTTTTCTGATACATGCAGTGGCATTTAAAAATTGTCAACACTTTTCAAATGTCACAAATATTTTGTGAAAATACGTGAACATTCTTTTAAAGTCCTGAATTATTTTTGTAAATGCATGAACACTTTTTTCGCTTTGTGATAATTTTCTCTCAAAATATGTGAAAAGTTTTTCGAATGTGTGAACACCTTTTAAACTGTATGAACATTTTTTTAAACTGCATGATGACTTCTGTAAAACAAGTGAACACTTCTTCAATTACATGTACGTTCTCCAAAATGTATGACACTTTACAAGTACATATTTATATTTTTGGAAATTCATGAAAATTTTGAAATATGAGAAAGCTTTTTCGATTATATGCTCATTTTGGGGAAATCTGGAACAATTTTGTAAAATTGGAGGAACATTTTCTTATATGCAGAACACTTTTTAAAATCGCCGGAATATTTTTTTCATGTATACAGTTTTTAATATTAGGAAAGAAAGTTGTTAGATGAGCAATTATATAAACCCTGGTTTTTCTATTTGATTTTAGGATCATAAATTTTTTAATTCTGTATTCTAGTACCCTCATGACTAGTACGTGCAAGCATTCTACCGGCCAGCTGCTCATGGAAGTTTGTCTAACATGCAAATTTATTTGAAATATGTTAACAAAAATGATTCGCATGTACACTATAATGTAGAGTACATTATCTACTGAGAAGAGTAGACAATTGTTGACAACAGAAGTAACCAATCAAAACCGATAAAGAAACCAAAACAAGCCAAAAAATAAACAAATTAAACCCAAAAAAAAAGACGAACACTAATGGAAAAGAATGAAAACAACCAAAACCAAAAAAGAAACAACTAAGAATCAGAGAGAAACAAAAAAATGAAGTACTGCGAAGAAAATAAGAAAATGAAAGAAAACCAGTGTAAAAACAAAAGAATCACAGTGTAACGAAAAAATATTGAATAAAACCATGAAGAAATAAAAATAAACCAGCAGAAAAAACAAAGAAAGAAAAGAAACTAAAAAAGGGAGAGATCGCGAGCTAGCGAGCGTCACAAGCTAGCAGGCAAACAAAAACTGAGAAACGAGTGTCCCATTTGCTACGTGAAATAAAAAAATCATCCAGACGTGAGAAGCTATTGACTCGCGCTGAGCAAGAAATAGCACTCACGGAGGGTGCCCTATGTCTCGATTTTTTTGAGGGAAATGTCTCCATATGTAGGAAACCTCATGTGAAGGCGGGCGCCAGCTGGGCCGGCCTAGCTCGCGGGAGGCAACAACCTCATTTTATTTTCAGTTTTTTTGTTAGCTTAATTTGTGTTTTTGTTTCTTTTGTTTATACTTCCAAATATTCCGAAAGTGAAGTTCTGAGCTTACTATCGCTATCCACATCACCAAGTCACCGGAAGATTCCAAACACTAGGATGTATAGCATGAAGTATGTTTTCATATTCCATCGGTTTTCTGTCTCCATAGCCCACATCTATCACCTAATAAATGCGATGTCGTCCAAACTGTTGCAGCCAGCTCGGATGTGCTATGACGATATGAGCCGTCTCCATGGAGAATTGTACCTACATTCTCCATCCCTGGATATTGCAATGCATGTCCATAGTGCGGTTATCAATGCAGGACACATTAAACTCTTCACAATACACCAAGTAATGTTATTCAGGAATTGGAAGTTCTCAGAAATTTAGTTCATTCACAACTAACAAAAGTTCGTGATAAATTTCAGTGTTGAATCAATCACGCTCAAAAGTCCAAATCTCACAAGTGTGGAAACACTATTGTGCATAACATCACAAACTAATACAACTAACAACAAATGGTCCTTAATTGTACAAGACTTCATCGATTAAGAACACCCGAGGTCGCCCGAAAAATGTTTTATTCAGCAAAACAATGTGACTCCAGTCGCCATCTCATAGCCTCAGCTCTAAAGCTTTGTTATAGGTGTTTCGTCGGTACCCCTTGATGTCACAGTAATATCTATGATATAGAAATTATATCATTAGAAACTCCCTTCTCTCATACATGTTATACATTATTACTCCAAGCTGTGGTCAAAGGTAACCTGAAAAATCGTATTAGGCCTTGTATATATGGATGGAGGGAGTAGGTTTGTTTGGCACATCACCATGATCCACACACATTTTCCTCATGTGCCCCTGCCACCGTCAGATCGTGCAGCAAAAAAACTCATTTGCTTACTTA